TTTATGACAGATACCGGTACCCATCCCTAATGATGAATGTCTGTGGGATCGGTTAGAGTGGGGTAGAGTGGGACAAGTCCAAAAATGAATCACATTTTTTTGTCTTTCAACTGCTGCTGTGTTGACAGTTTTCCCTCTATAGCCATTGTTTTACTCATAGCCATTATTGTCCTCTTTCATCAGTGTTATTATCATTAAGGTTCTCCTATAAATGCCTCCTCCATCCAACTCTTCCATAGAGAACAATGTTAAACAGCTCCCATATTTACTCTAAAAATAAGCTGAAGCAAACAAAAATCAACACCTGTCTCCCAGGTGTGTTACCATAAGAGACCAGCTTCTAGACGGTGTCTTTTCCTCTCATGCCTTTCGTATTACTCTTACCCAAAGTCAAGCTGGCACTTATCACAGCTGTTTTCTCTATTTGCTTCTTTCCAGGTTTTGCTGAACCTTATAAAATACTGTCTGCCTTTAACTTGGTTTAATATCAGAAACTAAAAAAAAAAACAGCGCCATCTACCTGCACACAATCACACATCCTCTCTAAAATCCAATCTGGAGCATGTGATGTGAAACATAGTGCACATACATTCAGGACTGGGAATCGTTTGTGTATAAAATGATATGAATAATTAATTGTCTTGATTTGACAATGTTGATTCAGACTTTTAAACATCCTATAACTGATCAAGTATTTAATTCTGGTTCACTGATTTATCTAATTGTAGACATTTTTCTAAACCTCACATTCTTTCAGTGTAGCTAAGTGAAGGAAGTAGATTTAATTTTTTTTCATGTTATTGTCCAGATATCTAACCACACAGACGGGTCTGAGTAAGGACAAACCGTACCTGGACTCCTGCTTGCCCGTCGGACTGACTGAAACAATAGTCCGGGACAATCGCACGCTGCACCTGAGGGGTCAGGGTGACTGGACCAAGTGTCAGGAGGCAGTGCGACCCTTCCTGGGTCTCCATAATGGCACTATGTCACCAAGAGGTGTCTATCAGGTATGGACCTTTATGATAGCAAGGTTTTGTTTATGGTATTGATCACTGCTCAGTCTTTCCTTGATTCTTTATAAAGTAGAGATGCAAAGAAAAATTGGCATCTAATATTTTTGCAGGCTCCCATCAACTTCAGCAACAGTGAGTTCTATGGTTTCTCTGAGTTTTACTACTGTATGGAGGACGTGCTCAGGATAGGAGGACAGTACAACAGTGAGAAATACTCCAAAGCTTCTATGGTAACAGACACACAACACCAGTCCTTCCATTAGACAAATATATTAGATGAAAGATTTTAACATTCTGTGTTTGTTCAGTGAAAGTTCAGTTTCATGTTTCGGTTTATTTAACAGGACTACTGCTCTACCCAGTGGTCGACACTGAAACAGCGTCTGGAAAACCACCTTTACTCCAAACAGGCAGACGACAGCAGACTGAAGTAAGTTCAGTTTTCTGGCTGTATTCATGCTATTATAAACTATCCGTGGAAACACCTGCACACAAACAATAAATGTGGCATCTTTTGAGAATCTTCCATTTCTGTGTGGGAGTTTTTTCATACCAAAGAGCAGAACCTGAGATGTGAAGCGTGTAATTATCACAATCGCCAATTCACTTTTATTAGGCCACATGATTGTTGGGTTTTTCTCTGTACCTATGAAGCGCCTTGAGGCGACTTTTGTTGTGATTTGGCGCTATATAAATAAAATTGAATTGAATTGAATTGAATGAGGAGGAACTCTTCAGTTACTCCCCGACTACTTCACTGACCATATGTAGAAAAGTTACATCAGCCGTTGGTTTGTGGTTTATTTTTGTGTCAGCAAACCAAATTTCTAGAACTGGACATGTTTGTGGCTAAAATCTTCACATATTTAGGACACACACATATTTATTCAGTCTAGCAACCTGCAGTTAATTGGAGATTGTCATATTGTATGTTGTAAATGAGGATACTTCTTTTCTCCTGCTTTCCACATATAAACGAGTCTCTCTGAACTTGATTTTCAGCCCAAAAACTCTTGATAAGTAAGGCTGACCCAATTCTTCTACCAATGCACAACAGTGGATTATTTCAGTAACACCAGGAGCCACAGGCACATCCAAGCATTTCGAGGACAGTAAACAAAAAAAACAGAACAAATATTTCCAAATTGCTCACTTCTCAGTTCTTTACATCACTAACTATAAATTATGCATAAATTATGTATAAATACACAAACAAACTCAAATTTTACACGCGAGTCTTTATGACCAGACATCGCTAACATGAAAAAAAGAGAAAAAGCAACTCTTACCGTCATGTACCAGCTGAAATGTTCACCCCAGAAACTGATATGGCTTTGCAGTTAAGTGCAAGTTGATGTAACAGCCTGCTGCCATCGCTTTGCCACTTTCAGTCGTAGAGATTCACCCACAGCTTTGTTTGTCTCAGTGGGAAATGGCAAATGAAGGCTAATGATGTCAGCTACATCACTCTCCAGACTGTGTTTTGATTCTTGAAAGAATGATATACTGCTGGTGGCAAAGTTGCAAAAGTTATTCCCTTTTTTGCCTGCAGGTGGTGCACATTTGCACGACTCTATCTGCAGTTGTAAATCTAAATGGCTGCTTTGTTTTTCCTGCCCTCAGATGTCACTTTCATCCTACTCTGACCTATTATTGTGCTGTTTTTACCTCAGGTATCAGTGCTTCAAGTCAGCCTGGGTGTATGAAGTGTTGCACTCTGGTTTCCGTTTCCCCACCAACTACCCGAACCTGAAAACAGCCCAGCTGGTTTATGACAAAGAGGTCCAGTGGACTTTGGGGGCCATCCTGTACAAAACCCGCTTCCTGCCTCTCAGGTAACTGTCAGATATGTCACACTTTAACTCTACACTAACTTACGCTGGTTTTACTTTCATTCATTTGCTCCTGTTATCCGTGCACTGAGTTACCTTTTAACTTGTAGGTTTGTTTGGGCAAAAAAACAAGATGTGTCACAGGAATGTGCTTGCTATGAAAAACACGGCTTACGTCTTTATCTTGTCACAGTCTAAAATCAGCTATAGACCGATTCAGTTCATTTTTATTCATGAAGCACCTGACACCTCGAGGGGCCTTAAAACCCAAAAGAAAAAAGCCAAAAGAAAAAAAAAAAAAACCCAGCAATCACTTGCAGCAACCACTCGGTGACAGTGGGAAGGAAAAACTCCCTTTTAACAGGAAGAAACCTCCAGTAGAACCAGGCTGAGACAGGAGCAGCTAACTGCTTTGACTGGTGGGGGACAAAAGACACGCTGTGCAAGAGAGCCACAAATGAATAATAACAAGCACAGTGCATCATATAAACAGAGTTTGTTTACCTGAAAAGATTTTTAAAACATCCGTGAAATGAAACAGTTACAGAAAGTTATAACTTGACTCCCACCTCCCTAAACCTGCCCACCAAAAAGAATACACCAGCTAAACAGAGTGCTGCTCCTGCTGCTCTGCTCATTAGCAAGGATTTGTTTTGGATTAAACATGTGCTTCCTCTGCCCCGCTTGTTTCTCCAGGGACCTGCAGCAGGAAGCACTGCGGCAGAACCACCCCAGCTGGCTGCGCTCTTCATTCGTCTACAACCACCACCTGTTCTCACTCTGCATCCTGGTGGTGGTGCTGGCCATCCTGCTCTACATCCTGCGCCTGCGGAGGATTCACCAGCGGGAGCAGCGGCAGGCCGAGGTCCTGAACCTCCTCTGGGTGGAAGAGGGAGAGGCTCTCCTTCCCTGAGAAATACGTCTGGGACGGGAGGCTCCACACTAATCGCA